CAGGGCGCACCCGGCCCTCACGGGAGGAAGCACTGCCTCTGGCGGGGGAACGAGATGCTTGCGGGAGTACGGAGCTATTAGAAAATCACAGAGAATAGATTAGGTGTTGGAAAAGGCCTCTGAGGTCATCGAGTCCGACCTCTGACCGATAGTCACCTTGTCATCCAGATCACGGAGCTAAATCTGTCCTTAAACACCTCCAGGGACGGTGAGTTTGCCGCCTCCCTGGGCAGTCCCTTCCAATGTCTTCATGGAGAGGGTGGGCGCAGAGAGAACTGAGGCTGATACAGGATAGAAAAAGCAAGAAGAGAAGATTCTTCCTCGCCCTCAGAGATGGGCCCCTAGTTCAGCATTCATTGGGGCGGCTGTGGAGCTATGATCATTTTTCCTTGTGCTTTATCTCCTGTTCCGGGAGAATGGTTGGGTCGGGCTGGGTGATGTTGCTGAGGGAAGCCGGGAGGAGCTGTATCAGCGGGCGTTGGTGGTATAGTGGTTAGCATAGCTGCCTTCCAAGCAGTTGACCCGGGTTCGATTCCCGGCCAACGCAAGTTCGCATTTTTCCTTCCTCGTGTTATATTTTTTTCCCCCCGTTTGTCACCGATCCGAACCGAATTGGGATGCACCGGCACGCGGAGCGCCCGCCCGGCTGCGCCCTGGCGGGAGTCGGGCGCTGCTCAGTGATGGGGCGCATGGTGCCGGTTACTTCTTTTCCCAACACGCGATAGAGGCCCCGAGTTGTCAGGAGACGGCGGGGAAATAAACAAACAAACAAACAAACAAACAAGCAAATAACTCTGAATTAAAAACAAAGTAACACAAAACAAAACAAAGCAAAAAAACCACACACAAAAACATCCCCCAAAACTTCCCCCAAAACTTCAAATAAAAGTGCACAAAAGAGCACCCCGAAATATGAGAAAAAAAGAAAAAACGCAGGTGTTTCCGCCCGGGATCGAACCGGGGACCTTTCGCGTGTGAGGCGAACGTGATAACCGCTACACTACGGAAACCCGCCATGGGAGTAGCAGGCGGGTGATTGCCCATGTTCCCGCCATGGCGGCTGAGGGGATGCGGACCTCCCTCACGGCAACCTCAAAATAAACCTTCCGCAAACCCCTGGAAGGGCCGTGCGGGATTCCCAGTGATTATCATCAATGACTAATTTGAGTTCCCAGAGACCCGCTGGTCTCAGGAGACAGCTGAGGTGCGTGTCCTGGGCGGCGTTTTGGGGGTCCCCTCAGAGACGACACAGCTCCACAGGGAGGTTCCCGCTGAGGGGGCGCAGGGCGCTGCTGGAAAAATCTCTTTTCCCTAAGGCAGCTGCCAGCAGATGTCGGTAGAATAGTGGCGACAGGGAGTGGAGCTCTCTGGAGAGCAGCCCGGGAGGGACAGGATCCGCCTGGCCCAGGGGACAGGGGCTGGAAGAGGAACGGCCCCCAGGCCTGACTGGTTTGAATTGGAAGGACTTTAAATCTCATCTCATTCCACCCCCTGCCATGGGGAGGGACACCTTACACTGTCCCAGGATTCTCCAAATCTCATTCAACCTGGTCTTGGACACTTCCAGGGATCCAGGGGCAGCCACAGCTGCTCTAGGAATTCCATCCCAGGGCCTCCACACCCTCAGTCGAGAGCTGGCAATCCCAGATAGTTCTAAGTTTGTTCCTCGTACCCTACTGAAATGTTAACAACTTACTTAATGACAATCTTTCTCTTTTTGGTAATAACCTCAGCCCTTGGAATCAGGTGGTAACATGAGAATTATGTTTTCCTGTTTTCTTTTCTTTCTTGAAGTGTATTTTATGCTCTGCTGGCTGCAGAGAAAAGCTTAGAAGGGAGAAATTAATCATAAATCCAGACGAAAGCAAAAAGAACCTCACTTTTAGTAACACTTGCTCTTAATAAAATCTACTTTTAATTTTACAATTTCATTTTACAGTTTTGTAGCTGGTCTTTTGATCTGGGGCCAAAAGGGGTAGAGAAGAGGTTGTCACATGTCCTTTAACTTCAGAGCTTGCCAGTGCTTTATTCTGATCTATGATAAGGATTATAATGTTACATCCAAGTCCGTGACAAACCCAGTGTCTTGAGACTTGTTTGCTTCGTGTTGTTGTTAAACATCCTGGAATGAAATCCTTTTTGCCTGTAGCTGGCAGAGCTGCAGAGAGGACTGGTCACAGCCTTTGCACTGAGCATCAGCTGAGTGTGCTGGGGCAGAGCTGATCAATAGCTGGGGGCAAGGTCCCCTCTCCCTCGAGCAGGGGGAAGTGAATCTGTGAGTGACCCAAGACCATCCATGGAAAGATTCAAACGCCTTGGGTTTTGTTTTCTTCTGCAGCCCTCTTTCAGCCTGGTGATGGGTGGAGAGACAAGCCGCAGAACAGACAGCTCCAGGGAGGAAGCTCTTGGAAGGTACCTGTGCGAGGCAGAGGGAGGAATTCCATTAAAGATGTCGTGCTGTTGGTGTGAACTCCCAAAATCCCCTGGATCCCGCAGTGGTGCCTGGTTCTGGTAGCACTGGGCTCTGGGAGCTCTGGGACACACCGAGTCGTGGGCTCTGGATGCTCCTTGCGTGGGCAGCGCTGGCTTTGGGGGCCCAGACAAAGCCTCCTCTTCTCGCTGGTTCCTGCTTGCTGGAATGGCTCCCGAGGATGTTCTGGCTTTTCTGACAAAGATCCATTGTCAGAGACGGCTCAAACTTTGCCCAGAGGACAAAGATCCCGCAGCATTCTCCCTTCCAGCCCCTGACCTATCCCACTTCTTCCGCTCCCAGCACTTCCCACCCGTGTGGCACTGCTGGGTGTGGGAGCCCCCTGTGCCTCACCCCCTCCCCGCGAACGGTCCCCAGAGCACGGGAAAGGACTGTGCCGGGGAAAAAAAGAACCCGGGGGCTCATTTGGAGGTGAAGGCTGGATATTCTCCTCTATTATCACCAGCATCTGCCCTTTCTGAGCGAGGAGCCCTCCCCCAGCTCTCACCAGCGGCCGTGCTCGGCTTTGTTTCCCTGACACGCTGCGCTGGTTGCACAGTCCCATTCTCCCCTTTTCCTCCCTCCACTCCCAAAGCCTGCGTGGCTGTTCCAAGAGGGGAGTTGGAAGCACCGTGGAGCAGGAGAGCTGACAATCAGGGCCGGGAGACAACGCTGCGGTGCACAATACCCCCCCAATTAGCCATTCATTTCTTCTGCCTCTGAAATGGGGAGCACAGCCCTTGTGCTGGGAGATAAAACAAGAACGGCTTCAATAGCACTGATTTAAATTAGGTCAGGCTGGCTTTTGTGTGGCTGGGACCACACAATAGCTGTCACACGACGGTGGAGGGGAGCAGCACAAAGGAAAAGAGGCCAAGCAAGTGGCACGGATGCTGGGAGTTGGTGGGTGCTGGGACACGGCGGGGTGTGTGCTGGGGATAGTGGAGGGGCAGACACCCGAGCAGCACGTGATGCTGAGGCATAAAAGGGGCAGCATGGGCAGCAGGGGACAGAGGGGTCACACACTGCCTGGGCAGAAACAAGCTCTGCCACACCACAGCCATGTGCCCCTGGGAAATTGGTCTTTAACCATAACTGGTTATGAGACAAAGGGGTGACAAATTTTGGACTCCTCAGGACAAGAAGGATGTTGAGGGGCTGGAGTGTGTCCGGGGAAGGGAACAGAGCCAGGGAAGGGTCTAGAGCAGCAGGAGCAGCTGAGAGAGCTGAGAGGGCTCAGCCTGGAGAAAAGGAGGCTCAGCGGGAACCTTCTCTATTGTTGGGATGTCCTGTGCAGGGCCTGGAGTTGGACTGATGGTCCTTGGGGAACCCTTCCAACTCGAGGTATTCCATGACCTGTGTTGCAACCCCCAGCATTGCCTAGTTTCCTTCCCTTCATAAATTCTCCAAAAGTCCATGCCTGGTCTGAACAGCTGGTGTGCTGTGAAATCCTGCACTGGCTTCTTTAGGGACGGGTGAGTCTGGGGAAATATCAGCAACTCCCTCAAAATGATCTGTTAACTCAGGTTCTCAAAGCCATTAGAGAGAAGTCCTGGGGAGAGTTTTCTCAGAGGATGTGAGCACTGCAGCCTTGTCCCAGCTCTCCCCCCAGTTTCATTAATATCCTTATTGCTGTTTTTACAGTGGCAATGCAGATGTTCCTGTTTATCTGGCCATTGGAGGACACGAGAGCAACGTGCTCAGAGCTATCAAGAACCTGATCTTTTCAGCAAGCTGTTGTCATGTCTAAATGAATTTATCCAGGTAAATCCATATGCAAAGGAAGGGCAGGTAAGTTTAAAAATAAGAGTCCATTTCAAGTCTCCCAGGAATAAATGGATGGTCTTTTGTGCCCCAGATTGGGCTTTTCTAGGTATCACTACTGCTACAGTTGGGCCAAAAACCAGTGGGGGAAATTGTGGGTGTGGAAAAGTTGAAAGACATAATCAGCCATAATTCATAATTCAGTCTTTTTGGAAGGACAGCTTGATTTTCTTTTGCAGTTGCAAGAAAAAGCTGTAAACAAAAAAAAATTACTTAAGAAAAATGTTCATTGTATTACAAAGTTATAATTTGCATGCTAAAATTGCAAGTGTTATCATTTCTACTACTAACAGTAAAAAAGTAGGTGAGCCAAAGCACTGAGTGTGCCAGCCAGTGCCAAGAGGAGGAAACTAGGTTAAGCTGAAGTATCAGTTGTTCCTATTCCCCTTCATTTGTTTGTTCACACATGAATAATTTTTTTTCAATTTATTTATTTTTTTTTTTTAAATACAAGACAGCTTAGAGCTACTCTGGGCCATCAGCTACAATGGACTACATAATTCCCAGGCTGATTTAAACACACTGCTTCCCATGGGCACACACAGGCAGAGGAATATTCGGTGGCCACCAGCTGATATTGGAAAGACAGGCACTAAAAATAAGTTGTCCTTTTTTAACAGTAAGTGTAATTAAGCACTGAAATAGTGCCTGTTGTAGGGAGGTGGCCCCAAAGGCACGGAGCCAAAACAAGACATGTTGTTAAAAGGTATATTGCCTTCAGCAGATGGTCAGAGCTCTGATGCTTGAAGCACCCAGTGAAATTATCCACCCAATTCCTGTAGGAAGCCTGTCTGGAGCAACTGTTACAGCCCTAATTTCTCTGAAAATACAAATATATGGTTGCTAGTTTTCACTGCTTTACAGCTATACTATTTGGTGTATTTTTAGCCGTTCAGTTGTGAGAACACAACGAAAACAGCACCAGCCCACTTTGGTTTGCATTATGATTTACTTTCTAAAGCCCACACTGCAGTGGAGACTGGAGGGGCCCAGGTACCAAAAACAGTTTAACTGTGATAGCACAAAAATATGTTGTCTGTCAGGGGAGAGTTAGGTGGAATATTAGGAAAAGATAAGATATAAAGATATAAAGATATAAAGCACCCAGAGAGTGCTGGGGCACTGCCCAGGCTCCCCAGGGAATGGGCACAGCCACAAGGCTGCCAAGTTCCAGGAGCATTGGGACATCACCCTGTCCCTGCACGTGGGGTGACCCAGAGGCAGAAGAGGCAGGAGTCCAGCTCTTGTGATGTGATCATTGTGGGTTCAAGAACAAGAAGACATGAAAGTTATATCTGATCATGTTATTAGTGCACACATCCATACATGCAAATAAACCAGAACGTACAATTATGTGTATATAGGTAGAGATTGTTATTCTCCAACAAACAGCATCATCTGGGATGCTCCTGAGTTGTGACTGTGTAAATCCCAGAATTCCTGATATGGCCCCTATAACCTGAAATGCTCATTGGAGTCCTTCAGTTCTCCAACAACCCAAAATCCACTGCAGAAAATAATATGTTCTGCAGAAGATTGGTTCATTCCCTGAATATTTATTTGCTGGTTTGGGCTGGGGTATTTTTCTATTCTTATTATTACTATTATTTGTTTTGTTTATTTCTTCTCCTTTTATCAGCTCCAGCTGAGACAGGGGAGGGTGGGAGGAGGGTTTTGTTCCTCTGGAGATAACAGGAGGCTGTGCCTGTGCAGCCATGGTGACAAGATCCAGGGCGCTTTCTGGTTCCAAGCAAATTGTGCCCCACCCCTGGCTCCCAAGTAAAAGTGGGGCAGAGAAAGAAAGGAGCTTTTGTTTCTCAAGTGCTTCAGCTGTTACTTCTAATTAAGCAAAGAGCTCCAGTGCCTTCCTAGTCCCCAGCCGAAGGAGGATGGAGTTGGGGCAAAAGGAGAGCCAAGAGGCTGTGGCAGCTCTCCTCTTTCCAGCTGCAGCCTGGCTGGGTGACCTGTGCCATCCCAGTGCCTCGGATTCCCTGGCTGCAGGGGGGGAGGAATGAGAGAGCCTGAGCCCAGCACGAGGCCAGATGGAAACGACCACCCTGCTGTTCAAGGTGTTATTATCGGTTTAGTGCAGTATGTTCCCAGCTTCCCAGACATGCTGACTATCAGCAAATTGCTCTTTCCTTCTCCACCTTTCCCTGGATGCCATCCCCTCCTGTCTGAGATGCCAGCCCTTGCTCTGAGGTCTAACAGCACTTCTCCAACCTCCCCAGTGTGCCTCTCTTTGAGCCCTGCTGGCGTCACCAGCATGTGCTGCAGGAGCCAGGTGAAGTGTCAACAGCCAGGGGTTGGGCAGGTGGCCTTGGCACAGCCAGGTGGGGTCTGTGGGACACGGAGAGTGGGGTGGGCAGAGCTGTGACAGCCCCTGCCCGGCTCTGCAACAGGGAACACAGACTGTTCCACAGCACTGCACGAACACGGGAAGGACTGCCAAGAGGAAAAGAGGGTGGAGATGTGGAGAGAGAGAGAAGAAAAAAAGAATGTAAAGAATAGGAACGCTCAGGAAACCAACAGCCCACAGACTCAAGGTCCAAGCCCTGCCTCAGTTCTAGAAGGTGTCCACCAAGGAGTGAAGGAGCCCTCCAGGCCACGGCTGCTCCTCTGTGCCCACTGAACTCCGTTGGATCTCTTCTCACACAGAGAAGTTGAGGGCTTCACTCACAAACAGATGGTCTCCCTCTTGGGCCCCATCTGCCAGGCAACACTGGAGCAGTTGGTCTCTGCAGTGCTGAGCAGAATCTTGTTTACTTTCCCCTCCCATCCCCAAGGTGATCGTGGGGCAACCCAGGCCTGCTGTTTCAGCCCAGATTTCCAGGAACAGCCAGCAACTCCGAGGTGCAGGAGTGTAACCCAAGAGCAAGAGAGGGCACGTGGCATCGGCCAGCCCTGATCTCTGTCACTGTTCAGTGTTGGAAAGATGGAGCAGCACCTGGCAGCTGTCCCTTTTCCCCCCTCAGGACACAGAGTCCACCAGGGATGGAGGGAAGTGTCTCCTGACAGCATTAAGGACACACAAAAACGGCAGCTGACACCAGCTCTCCTTGAGCAGCACCAGCCAAGATTGCTGCAGCACGCATGAGAAAAGAACTTTACTTCTCCTCTGGGTTCTGTTGCTGCAACTCTGTGTCAAGGACTGGAGGATATCACCTATCCATGCACCAGCCCATGTTTTCCAGAGACCTCGGCCCCAGCAGCCAGAGCAGCGAGGTCCTGCTCTCTCAGGTTGCCAGGTTAGGCAGTCAGTGCTCTAATGGTGCTCGCTGAGCAGAGGGCACGGAGCACCACTTTATCCCTCCCCCGAGGGTTCCCATCCGCAGCGGCTTCAGCCGGGATGCTGCCGGTGGCAGCTCCACTCTAATCAGCCCCGAGGCAGGAAGTGGAAACTTTCTGCTTGCAGCCACTTAGTTTCATTAGAAGCATCACGAGAGAAAATGGGGCCTCAGGTGGGGCAGGGAGATGCAGAAGGTGGGGAGAGGGGTTTGCAGCCTGTTTGTTGTGGCACTTGTCATGGCAGCTTCAGCTGGAGAGGAAAGGGGGCAGAGACAGCCCGGAGCTGGGGCCTGTCACCCACACTGGTCAGAGCTCTGGAGCTCGTGCCGCTGGGTAAAGTGATTGTTGCAGGATATATTATCCCTATCACTGCAAAGAATTTTTCCCCGTGTCTAGCCTGACTCTTCCTTGTTCAGCACAAACGTGGTACTGTTCAGAGGTGGAATATTAAGCACAGGAGTCACTGCCTAATCATGTATTGATTTCAGTGGAGCTGAGCTCGATGAGAGGAGTCAGCCTGGCCTTGCTCCATCCGCCTCGTGCCCCAGGAGAATGTTTTGTGTGAGACTGAATGCCTCTGTAAGTGCCTCTCAGCTCCCTGCTCATTGAGAGCTGTTCTGCACAGACACATTGGAGCAGGGAGGACACAGGACCCTGGAATCACATTTCCTTTTGGCAAGAGGGGTTTTTACCTCAGTCTCCCTGGGCAGTGTGCATGGTGGGGCTGTCAGTTCTCCTGAGCAGGACTAAGAGCCCAGCCAGGCAGGAATTCTGCCACCACCAGCAGCCCTCTACCCCCTGCCTCCCATTTCACTCATGTCCTCACCCAAGAGCAGAAATAAACTCTCAACTGCTCACCTCTAAGCCTGATTTCCCTGCTTACATTTTTTACTTAGCTCAAATAAAGCAACACTTTCAGGAACTGGACTTGATGATCCATGTGGGGCCCTTCCAACTCAGGATATTCTACATTCTGTGCACCCTGATGACTTTGGGAGAGGTCCATGGCAGGGACAGAGCTGGCAGGATAAATAAGACAGGAAAAAGTGACCAGGAGAACAGAGTTCATATTCCTGAAGTCTCATTCATGAAAAAGTATTGCCCCTTGTTCCTGGTTTGTGCCTCGTTTGTGAACACAGATGTTCTGTTACTCCCACATGGATGAGCAGTTGTTTTCATGTGAGCTCCTGTCCATCTTCCAGTTTCAGGTTTCATTTGTTAGCCTTGGAGATTTCAGCAACAATAATCCTGTTTGGAGACACCCACGCAGTTCTGCAGGAGCTCTGCCCTGGGATGGAGAGGAGCTGGGTCAGGGAATGCAGCAGCCAGGAGATGGAGCAGCTTAGCTCCTCAGCACAGAACAGGAGCAGGCTTGGAGAGAAAGGCCAGGCCCTTACAGGGCTCTTGTCCCTGATGGAACAGATGTGGCAGCTGCTTTGTGCCGCAACTGCTGCGTGTTTGCGGAGTGGCCAAAGGACTCCCTGGGCTGTGCCTCGGGCTGGCACATGGGGCCTTTCATTTTCCTCAAGGGCTCTCGAGGAAGAGCTCATTGTACCTGCTCGGAATGAATTCTGCCAGTCCCCAGCCTGCTCATGGACTCCCTGTGCTGGGGTTCAAGACATGCCTTTCATTTTTTTCCTTCTGTCTGGGAC